ATGATCTGTCTCCATTCTCACACTTGTGACATTTGCAGACAGTCAAGTAGCTCATTCTGTGATGTACACTGTTTCAAATACTGTCATAAACATGCCGTTGTGAATATGAAACCATCATGGGCTCATTACATTTAGTCACACAAACTGCTTGGTTAAGTTTAGGAACAAACATGACTTGGACACACTGGACCTGAACACCAGTCACCTGTTCTATATTTTACTGTACATACTAGTCACCCAACCCAGGAAGTCAGGGTGGACGGATGAGACAACCAAATGGGAGATTACCATTTGCTTCCTGTTTCCTTTTGTGAGGCAGTGTTGGTTTGCATGACCACAATGGCTGAAACAATTATTTGATCAACAGATCAAATCAGCACCTATATTAGTAACAAATTAATAGTAGTTTAATAGTAATTTTCCCAGCAAAGATAATGAAAAAGATGTCAAACATTCCACAGTTTCCACCTCTCTCATATGAGGAGTTTGATTCATATTTGATTATGCTAATCTCACTGACTATCTACTCAACTCAACATTTAAAATTTTATTACCATAGGGTTTTGATTTTTTTTTTTTTTTAATGAAACACTTTAAAATCTTCCTACTCAATGTGATTATTAAACACCATTTTAGTTAAGTTTCAGATCTGATATGTCGCTATTTGATCTTTTATGTTTCACTCTGAAACTAGTTATGTGTTAGCATTTGTGAGCTTTGTCAGGTGGGTGGGTTAGCTACTTACTGGCAGTTGGCGTGGAGAGATTTAGCAACCGTTTATCTGTATTTAACGAGTGGTTTGCGTGGTAAAATCTGTTTTTTATTTAGTGATTCAGTTTCCACTTTGGTTATAACTTGGACAGTATTGAACTTATATATTGAACAGCTGTAATAAATACTTTATTACATCTCTGTACACGAAGTCCAAATTCAACAAACAAACTATTTCCCTCCGTCAAGACATTTGTGTGTTATTTAAACACACATGCACACAGATATCCAGACACTGTGGTGGTGAGAGACAGCAGCTCTCTGTTTGAGCCAGTGCTAATTTATTTTCATCACCACTTGTTAGAGCCCCTTCTAACTGCTCCTCGGAGAATGGCAGCAATTCTCACAGTGTCTCTGCACACAGCAACAAAAACATAGATTCAAGCAGATTCAAACACACTTAACACTCACATGTGTAACACTTAGACATTCTGCATTCTGTCTTCTATTTAGGGTAGATCTAGAAAATTCTGGACAGGGTGACCAGGCTGGTGCACAGACTTAGAGAGGGGTGGCGCATTTAAAATCCATGTAAAAAGCAAATTAAGTCCCTATTTGTTAATGAATTAATAAACCATATATTTTTAACCTTGGCTAACTTTGGCTGTGCTCCTTATTTAGTACTGGCCAGGGACAACGCTGCTGCACAGTGGTTCCCCTCACTGAGGCGACTCATGCCAAGTACTACACAACAACAAAATTGGAGAAAATCAAACACAAGACATCAAAATAAGAGGAACAGAGTGTGATCAAGCAACATTTACTATTTAAAATGTAAAATCATGAGATGCCTCAATTAAGGAAGAAAGATATCATTTAAATCATTTTAGGCCTGTTGTCCTCCTCCCGCCCCTCATCTCCTTCTTCAGATCATCTACCAAAAATATGAAAGCCTATCAAAGTGCCAATGCTACAGACAGATTTATGATCTTGACATATATACCAGCAGGGTTTGCCTGGTGTGGGTTACCACGTGCACTGTGTGTTCTCAGTGCCTGATTATTTAAACCACTCTGTCTATCACTAAGCAGTGTCACTGAAGATGCAGGAACTTCCAATAGCTGCCGAGGTAACCATGCACCCGCATCTCATGACCTGGGAGCTGTCCATTAAAAGTAACTTTAACTTTGTTTATCCCAAACAAATTTAGTGACCTAAGCACGAAAGCAGATTGAAACACCTATGAAAGACACATGCATTCTGTAAGGACATTCTCAGGATGTCTAACCAATAAGTTAAGCTGCAACAACAATATAAGTGTAAACTGATCCACCAGTAAAAAACCAAACACAGCTGAGGCACCTAAAGCATGGCCCATAAAAGATACGAGACCAGTTTTCCTAGAAATTCTTTTTGTAATGCACAAATCTGAATCTCACAAGTTATGTTCAATGCCAACATGTGGAATCTATATAGGAAGCAGTGTGTCCTTTATGTTATGACATGGAAGAGATGTGGAGGTCAGATTGAGTAGTGAGTCTGACTTTCATGCAGGAGACTGCAGTTTGCATCTCATCACAGACCTACAATTAACATTTGTCTTTTTATTATCTGTAACCACAGTCTTTAAACAAAAGTTTTTGTTGCCTAATACCAAACATAACCAAACTTTATTTGCCACAGCTCCCATTTTTCCCAAACATCAACCATACAATAGTTGCCATGCATAGATAAAGTAAAAAAAAATGAGAATTTTAATATCAGATTGCCTCTGACAAGAACCTGAGCTCACTAGAAAAAAAAATCTGACTTTGTTTTGGATGGTGAGTGTAGATGCTTCAGATTTATGGGGACACACATTAATGAGTTACTGAGTGTGGGTGTGTGTCGCATTCAAATATTACACTGGAACACTTCAGGGGTTTTTGTGTAATATGGATTAGTGTATGTATTCTGGAATAAATTATGTTAACGCACAAAGCAAATGTATCCCTTTTATAACTAAATTTGCCCACGTCTCCACACATGCCCATGTGTGAGGCCACTGCCATGAGACCAAGTCTCTGTCAGGGTAGCGATGACAGCCGAAAATAAAACTGAATTTCTTTTGGTTCAACCTCCCCTTGCAGACACACACTACCAGAGTGCAGCTGTTGTGTTGTGGTCAGGTGTTAAGCCCAGTGGTCAGGAGGAGGGGATAAAGAGGATATGTTAGTAATTTGCTGAAATACCCAACAGAGAACGATCCTTTAATGACAATGTTCATCATCGCCTTTCAGTAAATTGTTTCTTCAACAGCTTGTAAAGTCAATAGCCCTTCATTATCACAGACATCAAGTTCATATACTGGCTCAGAGTATTGGATGCATCAAGTTGTGTGTCATCAAATCTATTTAGGGAATCCAGAAGACTTTTTGAATGTGATTGGCTGGCATTGCTGTTGGCTGCTCCGCCACCATACTTAGCAACAAGTGGAGCATTTTAAGAGTCAGACTTTTTCCTCAGGGGTTGACAAAGACCAAAGATAGCTAAACGAGAGTAAATATAAGACTTGAGTGATAATGTTGCTTTGTAGCTGCTGAGCATGTAAATAAGTTTACTGTGTGCTAACACATTCACTGTATCAATTTAAAAGGTGATGATATTTCAATGTTGCATTCACAGTTTGTTTCAGTTGCCCCCAGGTGGGCAGAAAAAAAAGGTTTGTGCAAATTTAAAGGTGGGCAGCAGAGTTCAGTGAGCATACAGTATGTATTTGATGTAATTTAAACATTCTATGATACAATTTTCAGTACTGAGAAACAGAGTTTTAAAGCACATATAACAACAGAAAAGTATAGATATTACATTATTAAATAACTGAAAATTACATAACTTATAAACATTTGTAATTATTTAATGAAGTAATGATTTTTGCACCACAGCCTTTGTTGTCAAACAATAAAACTTGTAACAAATTCTTTTTAAAGACTGTCAATAAAGGTATTGTTTTAGCATATTTAACTTATGGAGAAGAAATTCCCATAATAATCCCACATGTTTAATGCATTAGTTCTACTGTTTATTTTACCTCAGGTGATGGGAGCTATAGTTTTATAGAGTGTGACCAATCATGTTAGAGACATATTTTCCCAAGAAGTATATGAATAGGCCTACATATAGTAAAAGAAAAAATCGCCTATTGTTTTGAGATTGTATTACCAAAAAGTACAGTTATTGTGTTCAGTGTTAGCTTTTTCTGAGATATTCATCATTATGATAAATGCAATTTAAAACTTTAAAATGTGTCACAATTAACATATAGTAGAATATTTACAAAGGAACATTAACTTTTTATTTTTTTAAGAGGTTTTTATTTCATTTCCCAGACCTTTTATCTCCAAACCTGCTCACCTAAAGGCTCACATTCAAGCCACCAATCACATTTTTTTTATTTTATTCCTTGTCTCCTCACGTTATTTATATATGATTATACTTTATAATTATTATTTATGCTGATACATGTGACACTGATTTAATTTCATTTAAATTATTTCATCCTTCATTTGTATATATTAGTAGTATCTGATATTATTTAGGAGGAAGGTGGGGGTATTAACAAACATATGTTGTAACCTAGTCAAGTCCTGAAAATGTATTGAAAGAGACTTTGGGGGAAACATATAAACCAACAAACAAAGGTGACAGAAACAGACTAATTACCACCATGTTTTTAAATACTGTTAAGGGTCTAAATGAAATGTATTAGACTAACTATTAGCCTAACAGATTTTTTTATGAGAACAGCACCACTGTGTGGCAGAATAATAATTCTGTTTCTCTTAAAAAATCTTTTCATAAGTAGCCTAAAACCTAATATTCTGAAACATAAGAATATTTACTATGCATCGTTTTTTATTTATAATCTTAAATTTAGAAATGTACTAAACCTTTAGAGATCTTAAGTAGCTTAATAAGAGTAAATCCTATATTTAATTGTCATAGTTGATTCAGTGCCATTTATTTATAAACCCAGTTGCTTAATAAAAAATATTTGTGGACTTGAAAAGGTAAATTCTACTTGACTGCAGTAAGAATCAAAGCCAGACATGCCTCTATCTATCAACAACAACAACAACAACAACAACAACAATGATCATAATACTTTTACACCTGACGCATTGTGGCTTATTGTTTCAATTTAAATAAATTTTAAGTTGGTGCTTTAGAACATTTTTCTGTCAAAGTTCGTACTTTTACTCTGAAGGTTGTTGGTCTGCTCACCAAACCGGACGTCATCATAGGTTTGAGCCATCTGGAATTTCCTGTTCTCTAACCGTGCTGCTAACAGTTGATTTGCTGAGGACGAGTACCCGCAAGATATACCATATTTAAGAAATAACGGAAGGTATGCATCAAAAATAGTGTTATAATAACATGAAGCATAACACGACCGCTTGTTTTATATTCGCTGTTTTTAGCGTTTGTCAGTCGCTGGCTATGTTAAGTGTTTTTTATAACGGGGCCTTGCTAGGACGTAGCAAGAGAGGCTAGTTTAGCTCGCTTGCGCATTTAAAGTTACAAACAAAATACTGCAGTTTGGCGACATTTTGAACAGTTTGCACTGCACCATTGTAAAACTTTGATAAATGATTTCTTAACACCAGTGATGGCGGAGCACAGGCGTGTTCCCTCTATTTAGCCCACCAAATCTGTTCCGTTTTAACCAGTTAACTAGCTAGGCAACTACTTGATTGGTACTGATCTGTATTGTAAGCTATTGTGTTGATGTGCGACGGCAGAAATAAAGTCGGATATTTTTCCTTTTCCCTTTAATGTTACAGCCAAGACGTTACATGAGATTGGGTCATGTATATATGTGTGTGTACATACATACATACATATATGTTATGTTGACACATGATATTTGGTAATATTTAGCTAGACGTGATACTTGCTTAACAACATGGCGGACTGAAACAATTTAGGCCGGGAATTTGTCTCCATCCCAGCTCAACCTATTCACGCAAACCATCCGACCACTGTTTTTGTCGGCTAACCCTGTTTTTAGATTTAACGAATACCAGTTTAGTTATAAATTCAATTGTATTAAGTTATAAATCTTAATCTTGTTGTATTTGAGCAATACAATGACAACAAAGGTTTTTTCATTTCATTTAGTCACTATGTTCACCTGGGAGTAAAGTTAATGAGATTGCAAAATGCAAAAATTTTGAACTAACCAACAAGCAGCAGTAGTATCTGAATACTGGGTTTTCAGTGTTTGCTGTGGTGATTATTGTTGAACTCTCAAAAACGCAACTAGATATACAATAGTCATAGGGCATTCGTTGTACAAGGCTAGAGACAAAGCACACAAGATATTTACCACAAATGTGCAATTGACTTTTATATTCAAACATAAAACATAAAAATATTAAACTTTACACATTCACTGAAAGTACAGCAATTTAAGTAAAACGTTTTATATTACAGTGTTCACTCACTGGTGCCCATAAAACAACCAGCACAAAGTGCTGTTAAGTACATAGTAGTTTACAGTTTTTTATTATTATTATTATTGGTTAAAACATATTTTCCTCAGTGTCATACAAGCTGTGTTGGATTCAATGTTCTGATTTAATTCTTCCACAATGACATATGACATGCAAACAGTTTAGGTCATCATTCATTGTGTCACACTGTTATTAGCTACTTAGCTAGCCATGCAGGTATGTTGTGTTTTAACTAATGCTTTTGACTGACCTGGTCCCTTACTGGCAAACAAATGACTTATTTTGCATCTTTTAGCTGTGTCTGTGGCAAAGGCCCATCTCTTTTTTTTCATGAAAATGATGACCGAAGATTTTGCTGAGTGACTTGTCTAATATGTTATTGTTGGAGAAGCTTCTGAAAAGAATTGCCAACCCTGGTAGGGTTAAAGAGAAACTGAGCTCCAAACCAATGTATAGAGGTATTTAGTAGTGTTGTGGATTGATTCAGGTCCAAATCTTGACATTTTAATGCTGTTGGCTGATCTGCTGGCAAGTGACATATACAGTAGTGATGTCCGAATGAAGCAATGAACCAGTATTGAACCACCTCAATTGTACCGAACATGGGTTCATTCATTCAAAGGTTTGTTTCAGTGGCATCTAGTGGTGAAATAGGAGACTGCAAAACAATGTCTTAATTATGTGATGGGTGGAACTAGGCTTTGTGTGAATGATGTAAATACATGTTTGTAAAGATTGATTGGTTGGTCGGTTAATTCTATAAACGTATGTAGTGTAGTAGTTGGGAGAAGGTGTGCTTGGGGAAACAGGATGTGCTAGAATGGTAGGGTGTGCTTATGTAACTAGGGCAGGTTGTGATTATGTATACATGGGATGGAGATTCAAAGATTTTTATTGAGAAACAATATTTTTCTACTGTTTTTGGACTGAGCCGGTGTCGTTTCTTGCTGACAACTTCTCCAGCTTTTGAAAACACATGTTCACATGGTACTGATGAGGCTGGTGTACATAGGTATTGCATTGCCAGCGAAAACAAATGTGGGTAAACATTTTTGTGCTCGTTCCAGTAGATCGGAGGATCTTCACATCTATCTAAGGGAGGATCTGTCATGTATATAGTGCTTTTACCCGCCTACGAAACTGAAATGTGTGCAGCAAGTCCTCGCATTATGAAGCAGTATCGAAAGTTTGAACCAGTCACTTCATTCACTCACAGGACCAAAAGTAGTTTCTGCTTCGGACGTCATCAATCACGTGTCTTTTTCTCTCCTTCTGATCCAGTCAGACTGTGCAGATCAGCAGTTAAGAAACACAGTCAGACTGTGCAGATCAGCAGTTAAACGGCTCCAACAAGGTTAGCTTGTTTTACTAGGTTACTTTCATGGCTAATTGTGGGAGCTGTTGTCACATTACTGTGGAGTCATAAATCCAGATGTGTACCCATTGCATGCTGCCTACAGTTTTCTAGCTGTCAAGTGAGGCCAGGTTGATAGGTTGGTAAAGTGGTGGATATTGCAATAATTTGGCTGTGTTATTAATAGCCTAAAGAAGAAGTTGGTAAATTTAGTGCTACATTACTGACACTCCCCAGGGAGAGAGAGAGACACAGCACAGCCTCTCCTTTAGTGCTGCTAGCTCAGCTCCAGCTCAGATATCCATACAGTGGCTCTTTCAAAAGAACAAACATGCTTGTAGTGACTTTCAAAGCTCCACCAAGCTCTTTTTCTTCAGCAGAGAAAAGGAAATTTAGACAGAAGCTTCTCAAGGTTGTTGGCTTTCACCCTGCCCATGCTACTGTGTGAGCAGTGGTCTCTTTGTGTCTTCTGACCCTCCAGGTCAGACATTAGATAGCAACAAGGGCACACCATATACTTAGTCCTATTCTTACCACAAATTGAATTTCATCACTTTGCTCCAATTTAAGAAATTCTCTGAACCATTCCTGTAATTTGTCTCTTTCTCCTTATCCTTTCTTGAGCTGCATCAGTGTGTTTAGTCTTTCTTTTGGTGGCTCCCTTTTCTCTCATCAGTATGCTGTGATTCCCCTGTTCTCTGTCTCCTCTTCTTTCTACTCAATAGCTTAAAAACATGCTCTTGTTAAGGGCCAAGCTCTGAAATGAAATTTTCAGCAGCTGATTTCACCATTGTTAAGTTCGAGCTACAGATGTATTCTCAGCCACTTAGCCTGAAACATTTTTGGACTGCTGCTTTATCTTTATAACTTTACCGTTGCCCTGTCTGAGGACTCTGAGGTGTAACGTCGACATCACTGGCACTGCCATTTGAGCTAGTACTTTTGGTTTCTGGTGTTTTTTGTGAGCAGGTTCCATTTTGGTTGATGTAGCTTTACATTAACCAGCAGTCTATGTTTGCATGCTTTAATGTTCACATCATTAAAACCTCACTGTAGCGAGAGACACTGCAACAGCAGAGGGGACACGTAGCTATGTAGAGAGGCGGGGGAAATCGTGCCGAGTGCTGCGGCATGCATCTTGTTAGGTAGTGTAGTTCAAATGAATGGAGACCAGCCCGTATGGTACAAACGGCACCTTGCCGGTGGGCTTTTGGCGCACATCCACTATTTAACATTGCCGTAAATGTGCACATGAATTTCCTGCATTGTAAGTGGTACATTTGCGGCAATACTGAAATTATGCACAGTGCCCTCCATCCCACGCTGAAATTAAATCTTTGCTCAGTATATAATCTCTTCTTTCATATCTTCAAATACCTGTCTAATCAACTGGTAAATTGTGTCTTTGACTGACATGCATTTAATTTGTGCGCATATATTTATTTGGGTGCTATGAGACATAAAATCTAACCTATGAAGTCCAGTTCAATAGGTCAATGAGATTAAAAGCCAAATCAGTGTGCAGACAGGAGGCACCTATTTTACTTTTGATTGTAACAGTCATGAGCTAAATATTAGAAAAAAGTGTTTAACGTTACAAAGTAGTCTATCAGCAATGTGCTTTTGTGTGAATTTCTTTGGTCACTGCAACTCAATGCAAGCCTTTTTTGTACCATACCTCAAATGGTAAGTTTCAAATACAAAATCACTGTGTGAAATTTATAACTTGAAATATTCTTAATGAATTTGTCTATACAACAACTGCAGAACTGCACCCCACACCCCCACATCAAATTGTCTCCCCCCCACTCCCTGTTCACATTGCCCCCATGCCAAACGTTTTGATCCACAGGAACACTGGACTTCTATGAATCATATAATGTGAAGTTCTCAAATGGAAAATGTACTTGTGAATTGTTAAAATTTGCAGTGTGCTTTGGCCGTGTGCTGGTACCAGCCAGGGATGAGCATGGAAAAAAAATAAATGAGTTTATCTCAGTTCTGGATATTTCCTGTTAACAGCAGTGACCTTTTTTTTTTTTTTCTCTGTGCCGTGTTACTTTTTCCTCCTCTGTTTTTTTTCCTAGTAAAGACCTGGAAGTGAAATAGCTGGGCTGTATGTGTGTTCGACAGGAGGCTCCAGAGCGGATGAGCCAAGACAAGATTGACTTGATGGATTTTACCCATCCAAGAAGCTGAAGTCCAGGCTCAATCAATAATCCCTTCTTTGTTTTTTTTTTTAACTTTTCAGCTTTGCGTTGCTATTGGAGTGTTGTGCCGCTTCTCCTGTTCCAGGGCTCCTGACGAGCCCCCTACTTGGAGGGCTCCCAGGGAGCTCACTTCTGCTTGAACAGCAGGCTGCATTCGTGCGACTGGCTCAGCTGAAAAACCAGCTAGCATTGACTCAGATAAACAATTTGGCTGTTGGCAGCAGAGCAGCAACCTTGACAGCCAGGTCCAGTACGCCTGCTCCCTACATATCCGCAGCACCCCCCTCTCCGACTGCAGCAGCCATCAATCTCCTTAACCTTCTGAAGATTGCAAACACCATGTCCCATCCCCTCTATAACCCCTATGCCTCTGGGAGCCGAAGTTCCTCCCAGGGGCAGTATGGCCTCCCCAGTACACAGGCAGAGAGGGACCCTCGGAAGGCATCTCCTCACCTTCGACCTGCGTCCAGCTCCAGCTCTTCTATGACTCCTGCCGGTTCTGGAGGGAAAATCCCATCATTGCTGTCTCAGTCAGTGAACTACATGTCTGAGCAAAGTAGGACCATAATAGATAAGGACATAGAGAGGTCTGTAGACATGCATATTAGCAGAGCCAGGGAGGGAGTGAGGTTTCTTGGGAAACCAATGCATCAGCCCATAGGCCACGACACTGGGTTTACTGACACTAAAAGAGATGGGTTTCCCTCAGGCACAGAGATGACCTCCTATTCGATGTCTTCTGCCTCTCTTGGACATTCAGGCGTTGAAAGTGGGAGTAGCCCTTTGGACTGGTTGTTAAACCTCAAAAGGCCCACTGCTGACGATTCCTCAAAATTTTATTCATCTGCTTCATCTAACTATACAAGCAGTGGTGATGATAGGTTTAATGCCTCTACTGAAAGAGACCGCGACATGCATTCCATTCCAGGTTTAAGTGACTATAGCTATCCAGTACCAAACAAACCTGTTGCCCCTCTTGAGTCCAGTCGTCCCAAGTACACTTCTGAATCAGCTGCTAACATCCTTCTATATTTTGGACTTGAAAAGGAGGACTTGGAACAGCTCATCTGTTACCCTGAAGACCAGATCACCCCTGCCAGCCTGCCATTTATCTTGCGCCAAATCCGCGTTGACAAGGCCAAGAGATCTACAACTGCAGTTCAGTCAAAACCCTTTCCTGAACCCCAGTCTACCAGAATCATGAGCGGAATGGACACGTTGACTAGTTCTGACGGGGTGGGGATGCGCCAGGAAGAATTGTCTTCAGCTGTTCTTCAGCCAAGTAAAGTGATTGAATATGGACATACAGGCAAATATACTGGAGGGGCTAGGGATGAGATTGGAAGGACCACTAGCAGTGGTGGGAGTGGAAGTATGCTGCTGCTGGACACTTACGATAGTAGCACCCACAGTCGAGAACCTTTGAAAATAAATACGACCCAGGTGAAAAGTAGTGCCTTGGATTCTTCACGTGACCAGGGGAGCTGTGTTACCAGTCTCAGCTCTTCACACAGTTCAATACTGAGTTCTGTGGCTCCCTCGAGCAAGGATTCAACAAAACAATTGCAGGCTCAACCACGCCAGACTTCTCAAGCAGTCCAGAGCTTGTTCTCTCTGCCAAAGAAAGGCACAGACTTGAGGGTTAAGTCTGATGCCCCCAAACACCTTTCTTCAAAAGAATCAGAGGCAGATCGCCAGTCAGCCTCAAAAACCCCATCATCCTACACTCTTGTGTGTGGTGGGCATCCTGACAGACCTGGCCTTGTGCTCATTGACAGTAAAAAAGACAGCAGCACTAAGGATCAAAGTAAAGCTAAAGGACAAGCATCAGTGGTTCCTGAGAGGATGAAACGGCACGAGAAGCAGCCAACGCAGAAGCAACAACCAAAGAAGCCGATGCAACAGAAGCAGCCATTATCACACGGAGCTCATACCACCGGGCCGGTGGTATGGCGTCCTGCATTTTCTGGTGCGAACGCAATTCGTCCTCCTCCTCTCATGCCCAGCATCACGGATGCCTCACATGCCATGTCACGTTCAGTATTTATTCCTGGTGCTCCTTGTCCTTTGGGTGTTTTTCCAACTCCACCTCAACCACTCCTGCCGCTGGCATCTTCCAACAAGCAGGTTCCTGCAAAGAGGGCCGTATCCAAGGGTCTTCCAACATCAGCCATGATGCATGACTATGCAGCGTCTCAACCAAGAATCTTTCCTCATACCTGTTCTCTGTGTTACAAAGAATGTACTCGTATGCAGGTGAGTGGAAGACTACACTCTGTTCTCTCACCCTTTAGGAAAGTGTGTCATTTATTTCAGTGCCAATTTTTTTGTTTGTTTTCAATGTTAAAGTGCCTGTTTTAAGTTGTTTCATTTTTCTTATTGTTTGGAAGTAATTAAAAAAAAGTCTGCTGGCAAATTCGGCTGCCACATACAAACTACTGATTTGCAAGAATACGCATGTTTGCAAACTTTGGAAGAGATTGTTTAACCATGGTGACTGATTTCTTTTTGCACTAAATATTAATCTCCCAAAATGTTTTAAGGATGCAAAAGAGTTAACTGTTATTGTTAGCTGTAATTGAAGGATACAGTATCTGATTTAACATGTCTCAAAGTGTTAATAGAACCTGATTGATCATATCTGGCTAAACTAGACAGTGTATTTGCCATTCTTGTGTTTATATGACTTACTGTTACATACTTTGATATGAGAACTGACCAATATCAGAGGTAACTGTTGAAAACTGAATGATGGGCTTAGAAGACGTCAAGAAGAAAAATCTGCACGTCTCTTGCATCTGAGGACAGTGGAAGATGGCTGTTTCCCCTTTATGTTTTTTGACTTTTCTCTATGTATATTCAGTTTGAATATACACTGTTAGTGAATGTATACTTTGTAGTCCCCCCCTCCCCAGAATTGTAGCCATCAGTATTTAATGTCTAGGCATCACTCTTTTCTTAATACTGGAAGTTATTATGGACCCAAGCTTTCCTTTTTTTGTACTGTAATATTTTTGTGTCCCCAAAAAGGAATTCCATTTTTTTACTACAAATATTATGAACTTGAAGCTGACCAGCAACATTTGAACATCATGGATTACAAAATGAGAAGATGCGATATATTTTTTCATTCCCCGTCCTTCTAATTATTTTTCTTTTTATGGGACATAGCATTTTATATTTTATCTCCTCAACAAAGACGCGCTGATGTCATCCATTCTCCAGTTTCCACATCTTCCTGCCTCTGCCCAGACGTAGGTATCTCAGCCTGTGTGGTCTTGTCCTGATCCATACTTGATAGTGACCTGCCAAGATGACCTAAACCAAACATCAGGGAACTTCTATACCACATAAGAAGGAAGAGCCAGACATTGCAGAGTCCAGAAACCAAGAAGAAGACATTTTTGTTTGTGTTGTTACTGTAACACTTTGTTATATTTTATAAATGAGACTTGTTGACCTAGAACTTGAGCTGATTCAAATCAGCTCTAATTATGAACTTGTAAAGGAATTGATTTTCTTGTTAATTATGTCTGCATACAGACATATCTGTTTTCATGCTTTTTTTTTGTTTGTTTTTTTTACTACTGTTTTACAATCCATTATTTCCATACAACTTTTTGTTTACTCTGAACTGCTGGCTAATGTCATAGCTTCTCACCTGAGCTCAAGGTTGGTCCCACTTTTTGAATAACTGCTGTTGCCTTAAGATTTAACAAGACAAGCCATTTTGTTTTTATGGAGAATGTAATATGAACATGTATTTAAAAAGCCTTTCTCACATATGAAAGCAAACAAATTGAATCTGACACTTGACAGTGTATAAGCTTTGAGTATCTAAATTTTAGGAAGAATGTAATGTTTTATTTCAGAACAACTTTGTCATGGCAGTTGAGTTACTGAAGCTAATATCAGTTGTAATAATGTCTATTTAAAGGCTGTGTTTCTTGTTCTGACTACTAGGATTGGATCTCCCATCAGAACACCAACCTTCACCTTGAGAGCTGCAAAGTCCTCCGGGCACAGTCAGTATTTTTTTCTTTTATTTAGGTCTTGCTCATTAGAATTATTGTTAAGTATTGCCTTCTGAATATTTTTGGTGTGGCTTCAACAGATGTACCAAAATGCTATACAGAAAATATAGGAAAGAAAAATGCAGCAGTCTTCATTGTTTGTGCCTGAAGAACTTGTACTTAGCGTTACTTCTGCAATGTTGCTGCAACATGCGTAGCTCATTGCTAAAGCATCCCAATATTAAGAATTGAGTTTTTTTTTTTTAGGTACCTCCTAGAGTTGTTTCCTAATTAGTCCGCAGAAAGCAGTACAATTCCCTGATGCTATTTCTCACAATGTTGCTTTTACTGTCTTAATAGGCCTTTTAAAATTTTCTTCTACAGATACCCTGAGTGGGATGGTGAGGTAGTACCCAGGCCCAGGCAAGTCTTCGTCTTCATACACAGCAACTACAGTAGCTGAGAACAGAATGCTGCTGATTTTTGCAAAGTTTTCCTTGATGACATTCAGTTATACTTTTCTTGTTGACTGCTCCTTTCAGTGCTGCAGGGAAGGATTCCAAGCCCTCACACTCAACTTCTGCCCAGACTTCCCAGCATCGTTACCAGAAAAACAGGCATGGAAGTCATTCCCCTTGCCGCTTATCCAGCCCACGTAGACACCGTAGCGTGGAGGGTCGAAGAGAGAAGCGCAGCCGATCGCGATCACGATCACGATCACGATCACCACATAGCTCCAGATACACTCGCAGGTCTGTGACACTTCAATTCTGATATGAGCAGTAAGATGGATGAATAGTAGGGGTTCCACTGTCCACCAATTTGTCATGGTGTATTAAGACATTTCATTTGTATAAGTATCTAGTTGAACATCATTTTACAAAATATTGCTGTGAAAATTGTAATTAAGGGATGGGCGATGCATCCTGCCCAAACCTCCCTTCAAATCGTTCAGATAGCATCTTTTGCTGATCATCGCTGTTTCTGGCAAAAATGACAAATAGCAGGGTCATACCAGCTGTTGCTTACTAATGTTAACTCTGTGACTTAAATTGATGATGGGACAAAATTAAACTTGCTGGATTTGCAACCTTGCTGCAGCTGTTGGAGAAACAGACATTGCAACCTTGCTGCAGCTGTTGGAGAAACACATCACTGTCTTCTATTAGGTGAAGATTGTTTATTAGGTAAAGAGGCATCACACTGCAACACCACTGGATGATTAGAATGAACTGAGTGTTTCTGTAGTTCAAACGACTCCAGCAGCGCGAGATATCTTCACTGGTAAAACCTGCACTTTCGTTAGGGTTTTGGTTTTCTGAAACCCAAAGTACTGCCAGCTGGGCGAAGGGATACGCCCCTTCCCCACGCTGCCACTGTCGTTATTATCCTCATCTCAGTGTTTCGCTATATAGACATCATCATCTGCCAATTCAACAGACATCACCCATCCCTATTATCATTAGATTATCTAACTTTTTAAATTTTATTGTGTCATAATTCAGATCCCGGTCTCGTTCTCGCTCCCCATGGTATGACCGTCATAGTTCCTCTGACTATCGATCACGTTCAAGGAGCCGTGAGAGACGACACTCACCAAGGAGGAGAGATGAGAGACGGTCTTCGTCATGGAGAAGTGAAGAGAGGCACTCTCCAAGAAGGAGCAATGAGCGACGATCGTCGCCACGGAGGAGTGGCGAAAGACGATCATCTCCAAGAAGGAGCAGTGAAAGACGATCATCCACAGAGAGGCTGTCCCCTCAACGGAGAAAGTCAAGCAGCACAGAGAGATTGACAAAGATACTACTGGAAAGTTCAGGTTTGACAATTTGCAATCATTTGAAAAATTGAATAAAGACTAAACTATCTTGTCACATAAGATCCTTGTACCTATTAGTTTGCATGTGTAAATACAAGCTTTACTTCATGTAGTTTTGTATATAATAGTCATTTTATTTTTCCATACACTTCTTCCCATTGTTTGAGATGCATCATGTTTTTACACTAAATATGAATCTTCAATTAGCTTGGCATAAAGAACGGAATTGCAGTAAAATAATTATATCTACATATTAAATAGCACCAGGGCACAGTAGAGACAGAATTGCTGCTGTTTTGTCTGACTCTCTTTTTCCATCCTTGTCCCTCTAGCTGTCCAATCTCTGACAAAAGAGTCAGACCTGGAGGCTATGGTTAAAACTCTGGCACCTGCCTTACTGGCTGAGCTAGCCAAGATGAAGTCTTCATCGTCACCAACCACCTCCTCCTCCTCTTTCAAAGGAGGAAAACACTCCAGGTCCTCTCTTTCTGCTGTGGGAAAGAGCTCATCCTCTGTTGCCTCTGTGCAATCCTCTGTCTCAACAGCAAAGAAGAAGGTGTTGACAACAACATCCACTAAAGCCAAGCCCAGTCTGCAGAAGAGTGAGGCAAGTGCTTCCACAAAGACTAAGGTTGGTGCTTGTCTGTGTGTGTCTGTCTTTCTATGGTTGCGTGGAAAAATTTGAGCTCACTGCTGGTGTCGTGCCAGAATTTTAGTGCAACAGTCCTCACAACTTGAAAGGACTGTTTCAGGGGTAAGACTTGGTTTGAGGGTAAATTTTATATCATAGTCCCTTGTCCATTTATTTAGTCTTTCATTTTTTAATTCTTATTTATTTCTTTCTTTGTTTGTTCTTTGGTTATTTAAGTAGTCTGTTTTTTGTGAAGCATTTTAATTTGTACTTGTATTAAAGTATTGATTGATTTTTATTGTTACATATAATGCTAAAAATCACATTGAAAGTAGTTATTATTGATAGCATGGGCATTTACACAGATATATTATTCTCCTTTTAGGCACATTAAAAGATGCCCACTTTCTGTAGTGGGTTTTTGTGGACCAAGTCTATATTTGATATTTATATTTTTCTCTGTCTTTATTCAGTTGGGAAAGCCTTCACCTCCTACCATGGTGAAGCTAGAAGGGATTCTTAGTTCCCTCTCACACAATGACGTTGTTGCTGCTGCAGAGCAGTTTGGAAAAACTAAATCAGTTGTACTGTTTCGGTCCAAACTGCAGGTATGTGAGAAAATGTAAGATAAAGAAAAAAATCCTAAGGATGTTTTCTCCCAAAAGAATGGAACTTTTAGCTTTAAAAATGAATCAATCAAATACATAAATACAATTAATGCAGTCAGTCACAATAAAGTAAGCATGGAAGCTTCTCATAAATGTAGGTTGTGATGTTTTTTTTTAAGTGGAAGCATGTAGTGGTGAGCTGTTAATATTTTATGCTTAGTGTGAAATTAGAGAGCAGGTGGGCTTGACAGTTGTAGTAATCCAAAGTTTGTGTGTATGTGCACATACAGGCAGTGGTGTGTTTCGAGAAAGAAGAAGATGCTAAGAAACTGAAGAGTGTAAAAACCGTCAATATAAACGGAACTGTAGTCACTGTTGTCAAGGAAAAGGTATTGCACTTTTTATCTTTGTCCCTGGGAAAACAGAAATATTGACATTTGTCAGTATTAATGTGGTCACAGTGTCAATCAGTTTAATCTAAAATAAGTCTCATTTTGATTGTTTACAGGATACCGTTTCTAAGGAACAAACGAAACCTCAGAAGTAAGACGTGCTTCACAAAGACATCTTTTTAAATGTTCAACTACTTTACGTTTGTGTCAGGGTTCGCCCACCAAGACCTGGGGTCTGTTGGAAGGTTCTTCCTTTAAAGGGATGTTTTCCATCTCCACTGTTGCAAGTGCTTGCTCAAAGGGGATTTGTAAGCTCTAGACCTTTCTATGTATGTAAAGTGCCCTGTTGTGATTAGGTTATATACAAATAAAATTGAATTGACCTGACTTATTTTGTTCAGTGGGATGATACAACAAACAACGTTGCTCCAGACATGTTGTAGTTTTTGTGGAGGCTTGTGAGAGTAATTCTCAAAGATTTCATCCAAGTCCATTCATTACTTTTTGAGTTATGTGTTAACAAACAAACCAACAACACTGGCAAATGCATAACTCCTGCCCTTGGTGGAGGTAATAATAATAAGGGTGCATGTAGCATGTTTGTTTAAAGCTAAGTGGAAATTAGGGATAAGACACAAGCAAGAAAAACCAGGAGACATTTAAGATAAATGAGAAGCGCACCATGTTTAGAACCTTTATGTTACACCCAGAAAGGACCCAAGAATAGACTCTGGCAGTGATCTAATTTTAAAGTTTTATTGTAAACTCAGAGCAAAATAAAAACAAGAGTTCTGGAGGATATGCACTGGTGGAGGCAACCATTTGTAGAGGAAGTAGATATAAAGAGTTTGGCTAACTACAGGAGCAAAAATACAACAGTGAGTGCAGTAACTGTGGCCTGGTCGAGACTTAACCACTCAAGTGGACAAAGTGATCTGGCGAATAGTACTGATGAAGCCAAGGTTGAAATATGTCTGTCATTAATTGCAGGATGCTTGAGTGTGTCTCCAGCAACTCTCCCAAGGAAAGGGAGGGGTCCAGCTCATGCCACAGTCACCAGCATGTACAGAGAAAGACTACACAAGGGAAAGGAAAGAATAAGCCAACAACAGGGGGAACGGGATCAATACAGGGAAAACAATCAATAAACAGGTAAACTTCAACAGTCTCTATTCAAATATGGTATCTTATGGTGGATGTAGATGTGCTTGTGCTTTCTTTAGCCACTAATGCTGCGTTTCTGCTCTGGATATACCTAACGACCGGTATACCCAGTACTTCACCTTGCATAACCTGGGATGACACAGATCATCCTGCTTTGTTTTTCCGCTGTATTTTCTCTCTCTCGGTCTCTGTTTAGAGGCGGGATGGGTTGCACCACACTCGCACAGGCAGTCAGCTGAGCAGAGGGAGCACAGACAAAATGAAGGATCATTCCACAGTACAAGCTTTGTTGCAGTCTCTCATTACCTTTGATGGAAAAGTACTATGTTCCAGTGAATAACAAATAACATTTAACCCTTAGGAGTTAGGAATTTTTTTTTTAGCTATTTTTGCAGAAATTTTTTTTCTGTAGTTTTCATCAGCACAGCTTCTTTTTTTTTTTTTACCTGACAATTATTTGTACATTTTGACTTGCAACATCAACATGCATGATCATCGACTTCTGGGGGTTAAACCATGATGTTGACCTTCTGTTTCTCACTTTTGTATGGGGGTGGCTGTGGTTCGCTGGGTAGAGCAATTGTCTCTCAATCGGAGGGTCGGAGGTTCAAATTTGGGTGCCTGCGGTCCAAATGTCGAAGCATGGCAAGACACTGAAACCCCAAGTTGCCCCGATGGTTAGGGCCATCGGTGTGAGTTGGCGCCCTCGGTTCTGTACCGGAAACAAATTCCTTGTCTGTGTAACATACTTGGCCAAATAAAGGTGATTATCCTTACCCTTTTCTCCTGTTTGATCCATCTAACATACAACAGACAGACACTGCTGGATATCGCCAACGCAAACAGGGAATTTGCTGGTTTCATACCACCAGAGCTACAACTCATTGTCCGTTCCCGCAGCTACCACCGCCACCCCCAGGAAGGCCCCGAAGCACTGAGTTCGAGCAAGCAGGCTGACACCAGGAGAGCGCTCCAGACACGGAGACGCAGGCGGGGCAAAAGGGGAGGGCTCCATGCTAGGCTAAAAGCTTGCTCTAACCGACCACCTCTACCCAGCCTCTTGCTAGCTAACACCTTGTGTGTAACATGCTTGGCTGAGTAAAGTGATTTTCCTTATCATTATTATCCTTATCTAACTCTTTTTTGTTTACAGGAAACCAGCAACAGGCAAACACACCGGTGAGAAAACTGATGCTAAAGGCTCAGCAAAAGTGTTGGTTCCTAAAGCGAAAAATGTCTCAAGCAAGCAGACTGCCAAAGTTGAGAGTAAAGCAACTGGTTTGGAACCACCTAAAGGCCCAGAAATTGTCACTGAAGCAAAAATGGTAGCTTCCCATGTGGAAATGACCTCAAAAACTCCAACAGACAACATAGCTGCAGCAGAAGCTCTGACAACAGAAAAGACGGAAGAGGCAACTGCAAAGGCCATAAATGCACCATCCAAATCTATGGCTTCACAAAATTGGCCTGATGTGGAGACTTCCAAGCCCAAAGAATTGGAAACAAAAGAATCTGTGATGGTGCTGGAAGACACAGCCAAAATTGTGGTAACAGGAAATGCAACCATTTCTCAATCGAAGCACCAAACAGAACTTGACAAAGTTAGTGTTCAGGGGAAAGAAGCTAATGACACTGAACCAATGGAGATTGTGAAGACAGAAGCTGAAGTGGCAGAGCCAATGGAAGTTGAAATTTGTGGTAAGGTTAAAGGGGAACAGCTGACCGATACAGAGGCAGTAGCACACAAACCAGATGTGTCACCAGCCAAACCTTCTACTGTTTCACATAAGAGCACAGAACTAACTCCTAAACTAGCAGACACACACATTCAGAGCTCACAGAATGCCATCGAAACTTCAGAAACCTCTGTCAGAGCTGCTTTGGACACTCAGCAAAACATTTTGGCAGAATCAGAGCCCACTGTGCAAGGACTGGAGACCAAGACACATCTGTCCCAAATGCAACAACAGGCAAACCGAAGCTCAGGTGAGGCTGATTTGGAGGCAGATTCAACAGTTGGAGGGGTGGAAAAGATCACAACACAAAAAGGTATGTTGGAGACCGTTTAATGGATTGTGTGATGCTATAGTGCTTTGAAGAATAAGCTTGGTGTTAATGTTTTTTTTTGTCAACAATGGAGAGCTCAAAACCAATAATGTTTGTCTTGTTCCTCAGTACTTAACCTGACTTCTCTGTGGCTCTCAACTACAAGCCTAAAAAGCCTGCAAAAGATGCAAAAATGGTTCATTAGTCTGGGCTTAATAAGGCATTTTGTGATATATTCTAAGTATATGATAAGATGAACCTTTAATAGTCCCACAGTGGGGATATTCACAAAGCTACATCAGCAAAGGGATAGAAACAAGGAACTCAGTGTTAAGAATAGAAAAAGTAACAGACAAGGTTTTAGCGATATATACAATATAATAAGTAAAACATATTACACACTGGAAGCTGAGTTTTTACATTTTCTGGGTGTGCGAGGTCAACTGAGGGGGTCAGGGTGGGGGATTGGCCTACTGGTTGTGCAGCCTGACAGCAGCAGGAAGGACCCACAATAACGCTACGTCAAACACTTGGGGTGATGCAGTTTGTCACTGATGAAGCTGCCCAGTGCTGTCAGAGCCTCATGTATAGGGTGGGCATCATTCTCCATCAGGGATGATAGCCAAGCAAATATCCCTCCTGTCCCACCAAGGGGACTTCCCAGGACAGAGCTTACCCCCTTGATCAGTGTGTCTTGTTTCTTCCTGTCATGTTATGTTGAGCGCTTCTGCACTGCTGTTTTTGCACTTCTGGTTGCATTTTGTTGCCTTGTACTTGTACATATGTAATGACAAAGTTGAATCTAATCTTAATTAAAATTGGTTCTTAGAAGCACCTGTGCCTGTTGTGAAGACTCCAAGTGATACAGCATCTGCCAAGGATGTAGTTGCATCTACCAAAACAGAGTCGGTAACTTCAGCAGTAAGCGAGCAGCAACCAGCAGCAGCCACATCTGTTTCAGCAGCAGTTATGAGCAAGCAGCTACCGCTGGCAGCCACGCCTTCTTCAGCTGCAGTGGTGAGCAAACGGCAACCAGCAGGAGACCTGTCCTCTTCAGCTAGAACTGCAAGTGAACGGCAACCGGCAGCAGACGCATCCTCTTCACCTGCAGCAGTGAGCAAAGTGCAACTGGCAGAAACCATGTCTTCTGCAGCTGATACCCCTCTGACTATTGGAGAGATGGTAGAACAGCACCTGAATCAAAAGAGCATCTGTAAGAAATACAAGAAAAAGAATGTATTTGTAGTATGGAGATCATAAATGTCTGCATGTGATCATATTTTTTTTTTCCATTTCTTTTAACATGTATGTTCTTTTTTTTTAACAGTATGCCTCAGGAGCAAAACCTGCAAGTCACCAAAAGTAGGTTTTCATAAATGACTTGTATGTACTACCACAGTATATGAAAAGTTGCCCTAAAGATATAAATTAAATTAGAAGGGATGTCTTTTTCTATAAAAGCTCATCTTGCCTTAAAGTGTTTTGTAATGAGATACACAAATGCCCTTAATAAATAGCTGTGTAACATAAAATCTGCAGCTCTTAAAATGCATTCGATGTTTTTTTTAATATGTTTAGGCGGTTGTAGTTATCAAAACATCTTAAGTTTAGTCTCATTCTCTTGTTTCCTACTTGGGATTGTTGCAACACTTGACTGTACTGTAGTTTCAGTTAGAACCACATCTCATACTTTGATCGGTTTGAATCGGGTATTAAATTGCATTCTGAGTAGTGCTAAAAGATGTTAAATTTAACCTGGGTATAAACAAACTCTAACCACTTTACTGCTACTTGTTGTTATCACTCACTCATTTTTATGCCTTTATTTTCCTAGTTCCTTGTACTGGATCCAAAGGTGCTGTTCATCTCCAATCTACCGAAGTTTTACGATGGCCGTTACACAGAGAAAGACGTTGCTAATGCACTCATTCCTTTTGGATTTATATACAAGGATGACAGCATCTATGTTATTCCTCAGACGGGCATGGTATGTACCAGGCTATAAATCTGCATGGGATTTGTTTGATTAATTTCATATTTGTTTTTTTTTTAAGCTCTCTATCAATTTCTTGTCACTGGATAGTTTCTTTGTGGTTTTGCTTCAACTTTTAAACAAGTTATATAACTGTTAGGACTTTTTAAGTAGATTTGTGAGAACAGTTTTATCTTCAACATGCAGTTGAACATCCTTTGGGTCATTTACCATCACATTTTTGCATACCATTTGAGTCACTAATTTACACTACTTATTTTAACTCAACATTAACATTATTTGTGCCATGCAAAAGATATTAGGAAGAATATATATCTGTAATATGTTGGTGTAATTGATAAACATTTTGGTTTCTGATTTTCCTTTCAGGCCTTTGCTCAGATGCCCACAGCAAGGCATGTGCAAAAGCTTTTGAGTTTGAAAAAAGACATTATTATCAAAGGGCGTAGACCTTGGATCCATGTAGTGGGCAGCGGCATTACAATGACAACGGTAAGCATGAATATAAGTCAGGTTGTTTATATACAGACATATTTTGATTGATGTCCACTCTATTTGAGACTCCAAAAAAGAGCATGTGCACTTTTTAAATTCACAGAAAACCATACATGTTTATAAAAAAGGAACAGATGTGTAGCTACATAATATTGTATGTATGCTATAATTTTTGTAAATTGTATGAAGAAAACTAGTCAAATTCTGAGTTTGTACAACTGATTAAAAAGTTAAAAAAAAAAAACTGCTTTGCACAAAACATCTTTGTATTCTGATCTTGACACAAGTCTTATTTCACTAGACTACATTATTTACAATGAATATCAATGAATTCTTTTTTTCCCCAATTTTGATTTTTGTTTCAGATCGGTTTTTATAAATCGCTGATGAGGCGAATGCAATCTGTGAGTATTGCACACACAAACTCACTTATTCCTCATCATTATCAGAAAAACTAACATACTTTAGAAAAAATGAAAATTTATTTCCATCTTTACAGTACTGTTGTTGTGTGTGAATGAACATTCACATGCTGTTCTTGATGCAGGTGGTGCTTGATGATGGAGGGAGAATAATCCTCATCATTGACATTTCACCAAGTGAGGCCAGGGAGCTTAGAGAAACTTTGAACAAAATCGGTTTTTTCAGAAACTACCTGCCTCTCCTCAATAAGGTATAAACCCACCAGACACACACCTACAGGTGTATATGTATTTAGGTGAAATTTTAAAAGACTTCATGTTAGCCTTATCTGGTGTGTGTGTGTGTTCCAGGTGTTCATTGAATTCGAGTCAGATCGTGATGCTGATCGACTTGGAGTTTGGTACAGCCTCCTCAAACAGGCCCGTGGTCACAGAGTGTACAGGCTGAGGACACCATCCACGATTGCTACAGCACTACGTAAGTCTGTTTTAGAAAATAAAAAAGGATACACAACATACAGAATATTTCATTTTTTTGTTTGGAAAAATAACACCTTTTAGGGAAATAAAGTAATAGAAATTATGACATTAAACTAGTAGGTATTTCTTTAAAGTGCACTTAAGGCATATGTTAATAAAATTAATTTAGCTATCTGAATATGTTAACTTGGGCTTCAGTAAATTATGATGGCAATTTTTCTGACAATATACTGTGAACAGTCAGTTATTAAAGAAAATAGCTTCCAGATGTATTTATAATCAAAATTGTTGGTTGCAGCCTCTCAGTTCTCCTGTGATAGAACACTTCTTTTTGGGTTTGTGTTTTGCTTGTGTCCTTGTCACTGCTGGTAGCACGAGGCAGTAGCTGCAGCCCTGTTAGGCAGCTACTGCACAGAAACGGAACATTTATTTATTTATTTATTTATTTTTTTGTGCAGCACCGAGACTTGCTGCAAATGCTGTTCCGGACAGCGAGGATGCTGTTTCTGGAGCAACTATCCCGATGACAGAATTTGGCGTTCCACTGGGCAGCCTTGCACCATTTTGGATTACGATGACAGCTAAGCCCTTTATATTCCCCACTGTATCTCCTTGGTTCATTATCCCAGGTAAGGGAGACAGCTGAAAACTAAATTTAATAACCAAATGTAACTTACTTTCTTACTGTTTGGTAATATGAATGTATTAATTTATGACTCCTAGATTATCTGACAGTCAGAGGAAAAGAAGACATTGAGGTATGAATATTTCTATAAGTACAACATAATTTGAATTGTATTCATAAAAAAAAATCAATTTCCCAAAAGAATTACAATGTATAGGGTCTTCCCTTCTCTGTTTCTTTAGCTTTTTAATTGTTGTCTTTCCCCATTTGTGCCATGTAGGAGGCCAACCGTCGAGGTTCAGTGTTCCCTGTAGTCATGCTGACCGGTTTGCCAAGAGAAGAATACACGCACAAGGATGTTGCTAAGCTCGTGTGGAATTATTTCCCCAGACGGAATCTTTCCACACTCTACTATAATGTGGTAGTCCTAACACTGCAGAGAAGGGTAAGGAGTAGACACTGCAGACACATAAGTTTGAACAGCATGAAAACAATTTTGTTAATTAACTGGAGCTTTGTTGGCTAAATTTAAGTGTCATGACATTTTTCCTTTATTCTTTTTCCATCTCCAGGCCTTTGTGTATTTCAGCGATTGGACTGCTTGCTGCAATTTTGTCCTAGATCACATCAGTAATCCGGTTTCTGTCGGACGCTCCAGCCTCACCGTCCATTTCGTCTTGCAGTACATGCACCCTGAATCAAAGGAGGTATGGACCCAGTCCAGGAATGCAATAACACAATGTAATGAAGTGCATGTTTCCTACTTTCAAAAAAGTTTTATACTTATCATTAAACTGTTATTTTCATAGAATATAGTCTATTTGGCGAGTATTACAGCAGTCCTGGCCCGAGAATAAGGCCTAAGTAATTGTTTCCCTATTTGACATCGTTGTCATGGCAATGTTGACAGCCAGCAAGTGTATGACGTTTAACAGCAACAAGTGACAGAGCTCAAGGGTTGGTTAACAGGCATTCACATTTTGTCCATCGGGCATGAGAAAACAAGACTTCAGAATTTTATGTCTGTGTACTTTATGTCACCAGTGTGGTGAAGTGGTGGTGTACTGGACTACATTATATTTAGAGGACTATTTATTTATTTTACTCCCGGTTACATACATGAGACCTTTGACCTTGAATAAAAATCTGAGTCAAAACTTTGAATATTAAGTTTGAGAACAAGTGTTCGAGACATTACTATTATTATTAGAGGAAAATCCCAACAAATCCCCCTTAACTCAAATTCCAAAGCAAGTCCAAGTAGCTTGAAGAGGTCAAGTCAGTCAAGACAGAATCCAAAAAAGGAAAGCCAGAACAGTGCCAGGTCAGACGGAGTAAAGAGGAAGTTTGACATCTTTCTAGCTTATATTCAGACAGAAATACATGGGAACACAGAAAGGGAGAAACTGACTGGATTTGATAAAGATCAGAGACTAGGGCAAATCAACTCCAAGTCAAAACCAACCCAAGATGATTAAAACAATTTCAAGACTGGATTTAAATTTAGTAGCCCTGATCCCAGCATCACCGCAATTTTATGCCAGACTAGACAAAGTTGATACCAAAATTGATCAAAAGGAACTAGAATTTCTGTTCCCATCAAATGATTATTGTATGCATGCAAAAAATTTTAACCATTTGGAGAAAATAGGTTTGGTATAAATTATGTTAAAATATAGATATAAAATGTAAACTATTTTGATGACATGACAATTTATTGCTTGTAATCTTTTTAGGAGCTCATGTACAAATCTCTGATGAAATGGAGCAATGCCGTAAGTCCGTAATCACTTTGATTTTGTGTCATATAAATGCAGCAGTTTTTGAATTCCCAGGTCCTTACCCCCCACTTCTTGTTGTTTTTCAGCGTGTTCCAGATGTAGAGAATCTGGAGGAGCGGATGCTCTCTGTGGAGATCTCTGAGACAACTTTCCATGTCATCAGGATGGTCATGGAAGTGGTGGCATCCATTGCTACTTTTGTCAGCTTCCTGCCTCTTGCCAACAGGGTACAGCAATACAAACACCAGTACTTGTCACATTTTAGTGTGGAGTGAACAGCCATGTCAGGGTATCTGCGGGTCTTAAAGTCTTCAAGTAATACATGTTATGTACAAAGACCTCCTTAGATTTTTTTTTTCTTGCCTGCCATTGACAGCATTATTTTTAAAATAATTTTTGTATGTTGTTGTGGTCTGAAAAGAAAAAAAGGAGTGTTGTATGTGTGTGTGTGTATATACACACACACACACACACACACACCAAGTAAAATAAAGTTTGAATCAGCGAATGCTCTTCTCTTTATTTTGTTGCATTTGTTCTCTCACTTTAACTTCTTCCTCTCTTTCTTTCCACTTCCTATATCCATGACTGTCTTTATACCTCAGATATGTGTCGAGATGGTTGACTCCAATGGTGTAACACAGGTGGTGGAGAAGTACAAGACTTACGTTCCAGACTCTGAATCTAAGTGTGTAACTTGGTATGTATATCTTTAAATATGGGGTAAGAAATAGCAGTAAATGACTGGATGATTATCAGTTTTCCAACACAGTCTTTAAGGTGGTGGGTGTACCTCTGCTATCCTTTTGTTTTGCTTTTTTCTGCACACAAAGTGACCAGCTCCTTTTTTCCCCCTCCATACAGGAACAAAATTCTGCGCTTTGAGTCGTAAGTAAATCATTTTGTAATTGATCCTTTTCAGGATGAGAATCAAAACATATTGCCACAATCATGACAGCAGTTAGTGTGTTGACTACTGCAGCCTACAAGGTCAAGTACAATATTCTATTATGGTAGAGGTTAGTTTGTGGCACTGTGTCATGTATAATTGGTTTGAGCATATACATGAAATTATGTCAGAGTTCAAGAGGTGTCAAAAATACTGTAAGGTTTTCAAAGCTGCAACAAACTGTCATTGGTTTAACTTTAGTTTTTTTCTCTTTATTTTTAGTTTGAAGAGCCTGAAACAGCGTCTTGAAGATGCAAGTGAGATTACAATAAACCTTGAACCCGTAAACAGCAGTGTTGATGAAAAGCCCCCAACTGTGAAATGTCAAACACAGTCGCCACCTCCTGAACTTTGTGACAGTACGGCACAACCTGCTCTGCAGATCATTAACTCTGCTTCTGCTAAACCAGCACCCCATGCTGGATCCACCAATTCTGAGTCTGTCACAACAGGATCAAGTGTCACAACTGCCAGTGATGTAGCAATGGAGGAGGAGAAATCGGAAACTGAAAGTGCCATGGACTCCACTGTTGCTCCCAAAGAAAATGAAGGTTTAAAAAGGGAAGAGTCGTCACCATCAACCTCGTTTGCAGCTGCAGCTGAGTCACCATCAACCTCATTAGCAGCTGAGTCATTATCAACATCGTTTGCAGCTGAGACGCCATCAACCTCGTTTGCAGCTGAGACGCCATCAACCTCGTTTGCAGCTGCAGCGGAGTCACCATCAACCTCGTTTGCAGCTGAAAACACCATCTCTGCTGTTTCCAGCCCTGCTCTGTCATCCACAAGTGTGGTCAAGTCTGGAGAAAACTTACCAAAACTTCATCATATCAACGAGTACATGTTCAAGGCACTTACTGCAGCAGTTCGCCAGCACAGACTCACCCATGGAAGCAAGACACAGAGCGAGGAGAAAGAGGTGACATCTTGCTCTAAATCTCACTCAGCATCTAAATTTTGCTCATAGCATATTTGCATAATGCTGAAATGAAGAGTCAAACTACAAAACTATTTAAAAAAAAAAAAAAACAAACTCTGACAAGGCTGCCTTCAGGTGTGTCTCCAGACTTGTGAGCGACACCTGCTGATATAGATGATCTAAAAGTGCAAAATATCAGCTCAATAAATTTGGTAACAAAGTCCTCCTACTTCTTTTGAAACTGTGTGGCCTGTAGTAGAAATTAACCAGTCAAAAACATTGCTGATGAACACGGCTGAGTTGTCTTAATAATAAAACCAGTGCCAGCAGTGTGTAAGAAACATAGTCCTTTGTTTTTTGGCTTTGTTCTACAGCAAAAGGTGCGTCCGTAAAGCCCGTGTAGAAAATTACATGCAAAGTGATGAGAATTTATTCTTGCTGGGGGCTATATTGATGAGATTGATCTCTTTAATGTTTTCCTTTTAGAACTCCGGCAAAACCATCACAAGCTCGGAAAGTGTAAATGATGTTGACACACCAGAAGAAAAGATAACGATTTTGTTTTTAAAGAACCTTCTGTTCTTTAATTGTGGAATACTTAGAACATTCTACACAGGGAATGAGACCCAGAACTCTGATTTTCTCATCAGTTTAGTAACTGTTTTATTGCAGTTACAGAACATTTTGGGTGCTTTTGCCCTGTAGGGACATGCTACACAGGACTATAATAGGCCAATGCATGCTACTCAGAACAAATCTTTGTTAACAGACTGAAGAGTGGGCTCCTTACTCAGAGTTCCTGCTTACCTGTCTAACCCAAGTAAATATATGAATGAATGAATGATTTAAATAAATAAGAGCATCACAATGCCTACCCTGTCTCATGTCCTCTGGACTTACCTTATCAAACAAAAACAATGGAAGCAGCACCCCTATACCTGATGTCATTAAACAGTAACGTTTCGTGTGTGTGTGTGTGTGTGTGTGTGTGTGTGTGTGACTTATTTTATACCTGAGCAGTATAGTAATGGAACTTTGATATATAATTTTGTTAAAGGTTAAATTGTACCCTGAATTTGTTTTACTTCACCTGTTACTAACTCTCCTTTTTTAATGTTTGTTTTTCCAGAACTCCAGCAAAACAAATGTTGAGGCACCACAAGAAGAGGTAAATACAATTTTTGTACTTTTCACTGCTACATAGGGAATGAGACCCTGACTTTTTTCCGTTTCCACTTTACCTAGGATCTTTATCTGTACTTCTTTTCCCCAGTCCTTGTGTCATGACTTAAAAGCTGATGTATGATGTGACATTGTCAGAGACTTCATCCAGGTCTGTAGATGCAGCTTCAAAAATGCTCCAGTCTGTACAGTCAAAGCAGACCTGAGCTCTGACTTTGCTTTCTCGGTCCATCTCTTCACTGTTTCAACCACAGGCTTTGCAGCTTTAAGTTTCTGCCTGTAGGTTGGGATGAGATGGACCATGAGGTGATCAGAGAGTCCCATAGCTGCATGGAGGACAGAGTAATAGGCATCCTTTTATTACTTGTAGCAGTGGTCCAGTGTGTTTTTATCCCTGGTGGGACAACCGATGTTCTCTCTGTATTTGGGCAGTTCATGGGTGAGGTTTGCTCTGTTAAAATCACCTAAGACAATAAGTAGCGGGTCTGGACGTTTCCCGTTCCATGCAATTTATCTGGTCAGCCAGGGTTTGTAGAGCCTCCCTAACAAAAGCCTGTGGTGGGATCTATGTAAGCTTGAAAAACTGAGGTGCTTCAGACTTTACTCTGTAAAGTCAGTCCAAAAATGACTTGCTGAGTAGTTTGATTTTAATTCATATCATTCAGACATTTTGCCAGAGTGAAATAGGCAGGGTTCAACACAATGTAGTGTTGATTGGGGGGTGTGGTCTGGCAAAAGGGGTTGAAGGGTTGGGTTGTGGGGTCACTCAGTCACCATCTTGGTTAATACTACGCACCAGACTTGAAAGTCAGTAGGTAGGCTAGTATAAAAATTTATATTACATTACTACAATTTCCTGCAGAAACTACAGTTTTCTGGGTAAGGCTTTTGTAGTTTGTGATGATGAGATGCTCTTTATAAGAGCGAGAGGTATGTCAGAGGAAACCTGGCCAGATGTGTCCCCCTCCTCCTCTATTATACTTGCTTGTCTAATAGAACCAAAGGTGGGATGACATTTTGTTAAAAGTAAAATAAATAAATAAATAAAAATAAAAAAAAACCTAGGAGATGTTGGGAAAAAGGAATACACGTCTATGATAAACTGTCCTGAACAGCTAGTGTAGGTTAAGGGAGGGCCAGGTTGTAGAATACTTAATAAGAATGGCACTTCCTCCAGAGATCCAAGGCAGTCAGGGGGCATTGGCGGAGGAAAATATGGCAAAAAAACCAGAATGAAGTCCTCTACTTTGGTCCCAGTGTCTTCTCAAGTGGAAAATAAGGAACAAGAGGCCCCTCTGTTAGTTACAGTGCCTTGCGAAAATATTCGGCCCCCTTGAACTTTGCGACCTTTTGCCACATTTCAGGCTTCAAACAAAGATATAAAACTGTAATTTTTTGTGAAGAATCAACAACAAGTGGGACACAATCATGAAGTGGAACAAAATTTATTGGATATTTCAAAC